CACTCATTCCCACACACATTGAAAATTATGCTAGGTTTGAAAATAATATTTGTGAAAGTTTGACTCATGGCTTTTTCTTTGGGTCAGTCCTACACTGGTTCCAACACCAGACTAAGAAGAGTCACAGGATTTCAGTGCTTTCTACATAAACACTGCCTGGATTTCATAATCTTCTGCTCTTTGAGGTGCTGCTATTAACAAAATTAGGCCAAAAAAAGGTGTTTTGGAGCATAATCTGGGGAGATAATCAGGACGGCTGCAGAGATAGCCTTCTCTTTGGTGCCTGTCTTACATCCAGACCCATTTCTTATGTTGCTTCATGCTCAGTGGGATGTTACAAAGTATGAGCTGACTGCCCTACAGCAAAATCCACCTAGGGAAACGCTAGCAGACGGAGTAATGCTTCTAAACCTTCTAAGGCTGCAACCAGTGAATTATTTCCCTCCCCTCAGTTTTTCTCTCTTTACTTCCCCCAGAACTGCTCTCAGGGAAGATTATGATAATCACATAGTTAAGAGTCCAGGGGAATTCAATATTCCTAGATTTTCATCTGTTCTTTTTAATCAAAAGTTGAGTGTACTTTTCATCAGAAATCTCTGAATTCTCCAAAGTAGAAGTCGTGCAGTTTATATCCTCACTGGAGAGTGTTTCCAAACCATTTTCTTGTAGTTAGTGTCAAAGGTGAGGAAGATTGGAAACTGTCCCGGTAACAGTCAGCTAACAGGCTTAGAGAGAGTCGTCAATATGGCTAAATTCAACATTTTAAAAACAGAAGTGGAACCATGGTTCTATTAAGGCATTGCCACCCTCACCCTTGCACACAAGGTTGGTTTGTTGTTGTCAGAGACATAAGTGCCCCACTTTTGCACCTGGGTTAATGCTACTACTCCAAGTTCCTTGGTCACCTAAGGAAGTTCTTCCCAAACCGGAAGTTGGAACCATCAGTAGATATTCAAGGGCCTCCAAACAATTAGAACTCTAAGGGGCGCTCCCAAAAGTTCAGAATATAGCTACACAACTTGACTTCAACTGCTTTGAGTTTTGTACAGTGGGGTGTTCAGAAAAGACATTCTCTGAATAGATCAAATGAAGCTGAAGGGATGCACAGGAGAACTGACACCCAGGATCTCCTAGAATAGTAACCCACGTGCTTTCTAGAGTGCACGTCTGTTTTTCCCCAGCCCACATACTATTTTCTTGCTATCATGTATACCTGGGCAACAGTCTTACTGAGCAATGGGGCAATATTCTGGGCCAAGGCAAGATGCTTTTCTTAATGGAAAGTAGTTGTATTGCTAAGGAAAAAAGTTCTTGCAGGTGATATCAAATCTGGAGATTTCCCCCCAACCCCTATTCCCAGATGATCAGGTCACTACAACCATAAGACAGGGCACATCACCAACCCAGTGTTTGAACACTTTATTGAGCCTCAGAAAGATTTAGTATTTCTGTGAGAGGAACTTTCCTGGGAACTCGACCCTGCTTTTCTTGATACGAGATAAAGGACCCATCTTCTTAACTTACTGGAGTTCATTATTTGCATAACTTTTTACTGACCCAGTGTTTTAATAAACCCACTGTTTGGTCAGTATATCAAGAATCAGTCAAACATATTGTCTGATTGAATTTACCCAAGGCTTAGAGCGGTAGTCCTGTACCAGCATGTCTATTTATCTGGGTATACTGTATTGTTGCCTCTTGATAACAGCAGATTCATCAGAATAGACATTCTTGACCTGGGTGCCAATGAGGGGGCAGAGAATGACTGAGGACAGTAGTACAAGCCAATGAAAAGACAAGTTGACAAACACACTATGTTTTCTAAATATTTAAATTTTTGTGGAGATATTTGATTTGATGATTTACAATAAAATGTTTTCCTGCTCCCTTCATCTAATCATTCTGGCAAATTCAAATACTTTTCACTTTATATTTGAATGTGTAAATCTAATTTCTTCATTTTCCTCTGTCTGGGTGTACTATCTCTTTAGTTCGCCCGCTGAAAGATATCTCAGTCCTACTTTTTAAATAAGCAATTACATTAGTAATATGTGTGCCGTCATCTTCAAGATTAAAAACAAATTAATGCTAATTTGTCATCCTCTCTTTAAAACTGCTTTTCATCTTGAAAGTGATAATCCAATGTAAGACCCAGAAACAATTCAGATTGTTTGATGTTTATGCAACTAACAGTTTTAATTAACTGGGACACATGTATTTTATAGGTTTCAATGAGCAATAAATTAGCATGATGTAAATATAAGTATGTTACACTGACTTTGAATATTCCTTGTCAAAAGTACACCTATATTTTGAAATTACTATGTTTGTTAAGGTGACTTCTATTGTCTGGAAACCGGGAATTATCATAAGAGAACTTCTGTGGACAATGTATTTTAAGCCATGTCAATAGTTTTGAAATTGTCCATTAACATCTATTTGGCTTTGCAAAATCTGCAGGAATTCTACCAATACTTTTCAGTGCTTGTTCTTTCCACCCTGATCTTTCCCATTCCCCTTCATTGTGTCTTACTAATCCACCAGATTGAGGCAACTTCCTCAGTAGGAGGAGCTCAATAAAAATCAAAGACCAAGAGGCGAGTCTATTGGAATCACGAATTCCACTCCTTTGTTGTCGTTGATTTTCTTTTTTAAAAAGGCACACTTTTAACTTTTTTTTTTTTTTGTGGGGAGGGGTGGTTAACATAAACCAGATTCTAATTTCAGGGAGCAAAACCAGTTACTCCAAAAGTCAATACTCAGAAATTAATGTATTTTTCATTTGGATCACCTATGGAATAAACTAGATTTTTTTTAACCTCTCAAGTAATTAATGATTTTTTTCAATCAGTCTAAAAAAAATGCCTCTTTTCATTATTACCTGCCTTTTCTCAGTAGGCAACACGGCAGTACAATTGACAATGAGGTGCTTTGAAACATCCGATTTCTTTCCAGTGGGTCAGGAACGCTTTTTCTTTTCTCATTTCCTGTAGTACAGGAAGGATGAGAGCCCGGGGCCAGGACACTGTTCACATCAGGAGTGGAAGAGGTGTTTACTATGATCCTTTTAGCTTTGTGCCCCAGAAGCATCTCCCGAAGCCCTGGGTCTGATGTGGAAACCTGACATAAGAAAAGAGACTTGGGCGGTCCTCTATCTGGCTCTTCTTCCACCTCTTCCATAAAAGATTAAACAAAACTGATGGGATGAGTTGAGATGTTTCACTGCCAACCAAACTACACCCGGGAGTTTATTTTTCCTTTAAGTGATCTTGTGAGGCTGGTGGGGGCCTCCATCTTGATTAATGATGATCATCCTATAATAGCAGCCGGAAATGGTGGTACCATGGTTTGGTGTGAGTTTTTGACAAAGAAAATTAGGCTCTTGAAAGACATTTCTCATCAGAAACTGTCGATATATTAAAATGCATTTAAAAGTTACTTCTTGGAAACATATTAAATAGGCCAATCATTTAATCATTTGCTAAATGTCAAACCCTATAAAAGCATGGTATAATGTCACCCTGACATAAAGCAACATCAAAATTAGTGCATCATCTATAAAGTGAAGTATCATTTGCCTTCAAGTGACAAATTCTATCGCCAAAAAATACCACTGTACTTCTAATAAGTGACACTCATTTTAATAGATCCTACAAAAATACAGTATTTTCAATGTCCCCATAAAACAGTTAACTTACAAATATTACCCTCAGAGCTTTGGTGACATCCATATATGATACTATTGTGAAAATCCTAATAGAATACTTGAAACACTAGCATGTAAACTAAATCCATTATATATATATATATATATATATATATATATATATATATTTAAAGAGCTATGTGGAAATATGAGACAGCATGCATACAACCAACTCTGGGAAATTATTCTGGAATTTCAAATTAATATTCTAATCAAATTAATGACTAATATATAAAAGAAGTATTTTTAAAGGATTATAAAATGAATTTTGATCATTTATAGAGGAAAACAATTCTAATGTAAAAATAACAAATTCTCTATTAACTATGCTTGTCTTTCTCTCAGTAAGACAGAACCCAGAATTTTATACTTTGAAACATTTTTGGAAAAAAAGTATTTTCTCTATTTTTGCCCCCCAAAACAGGCACTGAAATTAATAATACAGGTAGACCACAGCTCTGAGAAATTATATTTGAAGTTTCATATTTGAATACTAAAGTTTTTTAATCATCCACCATAGCTTTCTAACAACGGTCTTTCTTAATGATAAATTTTATCAATCTCCAAAACTCATTTTAAATTATTTAAAAGTAGCAAATTAGATAAAGCAACACACAAATAAATTCCACATTTACAAGTAAAGAAATCACAGGGGCTACAGTTTATAATCAACATAAACTTGAAAGAAATGAAGCAATATCTTTCCTGCCACCCATCATTCACTGCTTAAATTTGTGGTGAAAAAGATTTATCTATAATGACCTTTTGTCTGTTTCTTAACTCTGTGTGTATTGTAATTAGCTAAAGGCATTGAACAAATTCGTTTGTCCTATTTTTATTCCGGTCCCAGAGATAAATGGCTAATTTATGAAATATTTCACTCTGTGTTATGAGAATTTAGCAAATGAATATGGAACCAAATATAAACACTTTATACCATATGTACAGTTACTTTCATAAGGCATTATCATGTAATTTTTTATTGAAAAAGATTCAATATAGTAAAGTCTTATTTTAAGATATAGTTTCTTTCTCAATCCGAGATGTTTAGTTTATGAAAATATTGTTTTTCTCTATATTCTTTTTGTATATATGCCAACATATACCTGTGCTAGAAATATTTTATGGGAATTACAATTCTTTATATTTGTATTTTCTATATAAAGGCATATACAACTTTGAGGCAGTGTTTTTGATGGAGAGCAGAATTTGTAAAGAGCTTGTATGTGCTTCCGTGCTCCGAAATTATATGAAATCCACTTCGAGAAGAAACTTATTTGATTAAAAAAAACAAAACAAAAACAAAAACAAAACTGCACCAATGCACAGCCAGAGGCTGACAATTAAAACTAATACATAACCACATGAACATCATATTTATATAGTTAACATTTTTAAGGATGATCAGTGCTAACACATCGTATTATACATTTGGCACTAATGTTTGCCATTGGTCCAGCAATTGGCAAAATTTGTTTCTATGTATAAATTTATTTTTGAACATTAGGTCTGGCTAGACGTATCTTCACTATTTATAAAAAATATTTAGACAGTAAGCTCACGTTGAATAACTAGGTCTACTGTGTTCTGGAAACTCTTCAGTAGTAATACAGCTTTTTCATGTTCCATATGTACAAAACTATGTCCATTTGCCTGTAAACACACAAATAAAACAGGGCAATCAATGCAAGATATTGTTTGTCACCTCACCATTGTTTCTAATTGTAAGATTCAAGGGAATATTGAGCAACCAAAAGCTATCAGTTTTTAAAATTCACAATAGAATTCTAACTATGGAAACAACTGATTAATTTCACCCAGCTTTGATTCAATTTATTAATTCAACAAATATTTAACAAGCATCTAGTATTTCCTATCTAAGACTGTCCTAGCCACTGTGCTGATCATAGAGATAACCTGGTGAATAACAGATAGATACATTTGAAATATGGTAGTTGTTCTGTGGTTGTTCTTTTGATTTGTTTTGTTTTTGCAGGTACTTAGTTGAGATGTTTTGGAAGTGTCCACAGGACCATTACCTTCTTGCTATATAATTACTGATAGCATAATCCCATCATCAAGGTCAAATATTTCACTCATGACACACATGATTGCACACTTATAGTCTTATTAGATCTTATTTTGACTCACTGAAAAGTTCTTAGTTTATATATTTTTTTATTTTTTTACATCCTTTTTTTTAAAAGAAGATTTTATTTATTTATTTGGGAGACAGAGAGAGAGAGAGAGGGAGAGAGAAAAAGCATGAGCAAGGGCAGGAGCAGAGGGAGAAGCAAGCTCCCTGCTGAGCAGGGAGCCTGATGCAGGACTTGATCCCAGGACCCTGGCATCATGACCTGAGCCAAAGGCAGATGCTTAACCGACTGAGCCACCCAGGCGCCCCTACATTTTTATATTAAAGAGATCATTTTTACTTCCCCCATTGCTAAATGCAAGTATATTCATTATTTATACCAGTGGTTCTCAATGGCATCCAATATACCTAAGAGATCCACCCCTCAGAGGTAAAGCACACTGACATTAGTGAAAATGTCTGCCATCTTCTAGTTAAGAATCATCAGTCTATGCATTCAAAATCCATTTTAAACATAATTAGCCTAAGGTTACAATTTTGGGATTCAACTGGTTATTGTTTGACATTTCACACGCTTCTCTGTTGTGAGTGCTCTTTTTTTGTACATTAAATTACAGATTCTCTTGATTGGAATGACTTTTACTATTAATATATAAAGAAGTGGATCCCATAAAACTTCACTGTCATTAAGGCCTAAATAAAATGCAACCTTCCTGAGACTTGGTAGGAATAATTCTTGGAAACTTAATGACCAACAATTATGTAACTATTTTCCTCACATCTGGGACTCAGTTGATTTGGAAGAGTCAGTCAAATTGACTACTTGGCAAAGTACAGGTAATAGAGCCAGTTAATTGGTTGACGTTTTCAGTTTTCAATTGACTGATACTAATTTTGGGAACCCATTGCCTTTGTTGTTTTACTTTTCTAATGCTTTCTTAAAATATGATTAATATTTCAACTAACCGCTCAATATTTTACTGCCTTTGGCTTTTTAAAATTTAAAACAGCAGATTGAAGTACTGTATATTCTTTATAACTTAGGTGAAAGTCATCTGACACATATTTTATCACTTTACTTTATCATTAATTGGTTGGCTAATGATATGATAACAAAAGAAGGTCCTAAAATATCGCATTTCCTAAACCACAGTACATCTAACGAGGAAAATACTAGGACACAGAAATGTGAATCCATGAAAAACCATATAACTAGAAGTATAAGTTTGTTTTGAATTGAAGAATCTCCTTCTCTCTCCCACCCTCTCTCCTCTCTCTCTCTCTATATACATATCTCCTCTAATATATATAATAACACTTAATTAATGGAGTTGTTTATTAAAGTTGACATTGGCTGTTTCAGTGGCAGGAAACAGTAGTTGGGTAGAGCTTTGGGTTTGTTTCACAGCCCAAATTTCTTGCTTAAGTTGTAGTTAAAACCAGACAATTGGGTTCCATGTGATGTTATTTCTGGTCAGATGATGATGTGGGATAGAGAACACAGCATATGGTACATTCTTTTTATTCTCAATCTGTATCTGACATCAGGAAAATAGCAAACTTCGGTGAAATGTATGCTTATTCCACTGTATTTTTGAGGAATATACTAACTACCTAATGTCTTCAATTTGACCAAAAGATATACCTGAACTGTGAATTAAATTTAACTTTATGTATTTATTTATTTACTCACTTTAAGTAAGCTTGATGCCCGCATGGGGCTGGAACTCACAACCCTGAGATCAAGAGTTGCATGCTCTACCGACTGAGCCAACCAGGTGCTCCTAAATTTAACTTTAATAATGGAGTTCTTGAATGTCCTTAATAATAACTTTGTGAGTGCTCAGATTTCTCTATCAGAAGACTCGAAACCTAGAATTGCAATGAACTCACAACCCACCAAGATTTTTCAGGGAATTGTTTGAAATTTTAGTATCTTAGTGTTTCAGGGAAAAGGAATGCTCTAGGATTTGGAGGTCATGAATGATGTATTGTCCACCATTAGACCTCACCATTCCTGGTTTTAGGAACTGCCAGTCTCAAAATAATACCAATTTTAAGAGCATACGTGGCACAGAACCCAGATGGCCAATTAATCATAGCTGCTAATTTTGAATGATACTTTAATCAAGAGGTCTTCAAAAAAGGGTGTTCATTTCCACCATTTTTTTCTTTCATTTTTTCAATCAAAAATGTGTGTTATGTACTAACTGTGCCCAAGGCATTGTGCCTGGCACTGGGGATAGGAGCAAGAAAGAGATGAGACAGGGAAGGCTCCCCTCAAAAAGGTGACCATCCAGAAAGGGAAATTAGCTATGGACATAATTATAAATAATGTAGAGACTGCCTTACCTGGAGTAGGCACTCAACAACTGCTGAATTGAATTAACATCAGAAGAGATAAATAAAGTACTAGGGTAGCTCAGCGGGAGGGAAATGGAAGAGGGAAAGTTTTCAGGGAAGCTGTTTTCTCCGGGGTCAATGACAAGAGTTTCCCCTGTACCCACACCTGGTGAGATTTCCCCCGTACCCGCACCTGGAAAGAGTATGATTAGAGAAGGGCCACAATCCTGGTCTCGCTCCAGCCTGGAGTCTCCTCCAGCCCTAGACACGGGAACAGTTGGCTATTTCAAGAAAATTCTTCAACAATCTATGTAGGGAAAAGAGATTTAAGATGATCTAGGTATGTAATCATTTTTACGAGAATTTAAAAATAAAAATAACAGTGAACTTAGACCCTAGGCTTTAGCATAGGAAACAACCATAAAAATATGCTAATGCGGGGGGCCCTTGATAGGAGGTGGGGTTAGTTTATAGATTCTTGTTTTCTAAAACCAAGAGGGATAGCCCAATATGTGAAATATTTAAACAGAAATTTTCTGGGGAGATCAAAGAGGCAGTAAGAGAGTGAGAGGATGAGAGCGAGAGCAAGCATATCTAGGCTAATCCTGTTATTTTGTAAGCGAAAGAGATACACCTCAGAGAGGACAAGAGCCCTGGTGAAGGCCGCACCTCCAGGGCTGAGGAACCCATACCATAGTATTCACTCTTATTGTTTCCCTCAGTACTTCACTGAAAATAATAAGACCCCAACTGCTTCCGTTGATCTGAACTGACATTTCAGTGATTGTGATAAAATAATGAACATTTTCCCCTTAAAATTATTGCTATATCACCTCCTGACATAATTTGTTCTTTACAGTGCTTGCAAAACCTTAATTCTCATTCAGATTCCTATCAGGATTAACTTAAGTCATTCCAAAAATACTGGTAGAAATAACATTTAGTCCTAAAGTAGAATCTCCAGAAATGCTGAACCTCTCATTCTTATTATAGTGTTAACTCTGGCTTAATTGGGTTCTTGTAGGCATATGTGAGCTTTCTCTCTCAAAAATGGAAAGACTAAGTCAGGCTATCTGCTAGGACAGTGCCAGGGAACTTGAGAGGAAATGGATTAAAAAAGGAGAAAACTTTTAGGGTAGAATCTATAAATTTGCCATTTAATTGAACAAGGGCAGAAGAAACAGACAAGAATCAGATTGCGATACCACTAACGGAAAGGAAGGAATGGCTTAGCTGGGAAGACAACGGCATTTGAGGCCACGGCAATGCATGCAAGGGAGATGTTGAGAAACAAGAGACTTCAGGAAGGAGGTCAGGGTGGCAGCATTAGCGACGGCAGTCAGGTTTTACTGCTGTTTGGTATTCACCACATGGAATGCTGAGAGATTTATCAGAAAATAAATTTAAAAGGGAGCATTGTGAAAGAAGGGAAATCTAACCAGGGGAGCAGGATGGGGTTGCAGCTTGGGACATGTGGAACAAAGCTGAAAGATAGTGTTTGCTGTTGCCCTGGGCATCGAGGAAAATCTGTCTGAAGTAAGGGAGGGCAAGGTGAAGCACAGCCTAATCCTTCCTGCAGCAGGATGGCAGAAAGCTGGCTCACACTCAGGGCCCGAACTGAAGAACAGGGATTCTCATGGGACCGATGCGCGGAGGGGAGAGAACAGGGCAGCGGGGCTCCTGGGAGATCCAGGCGGAAGGATAATTGGCAAGAGTCGTCAGGAAGGGGATCAAGGTACTGTGCTCACAAAAGTAGCAGGAAATCCAAGAGAATCAGATCTTTTCCAGTGGCCCCAATGAACCCTAGCTTTCTGCAAGAGAGGAAAAAAAAAGCAGGGAAAAGGCATAGCTAGCTGAAGTCTGGCCTTGTATCTGGGTGTGTTTCCAATAACAGGCTTCAAGATGTTCCGAACCACCATCCGGGCTCTGATTCAAGGCTAGAAAGATCCCTCGTATAAATCAGCTTTTAATATCGCTTTAAACCATCAGCTTTTAGTTTTCATGCTTTGTAGGTGACAAATGAGGAGTTATACAGTTGGAAACTGTATAGTTGATAGCCCAGAAGGAAATAAAGCAGGTTGATAACTTAGATCACTGAGTCACATAAACACTAGGACTCTACCTGTAATTTTAGTCCCCAGAAATATTTTGGATCTGAAAACCAGAGCTTTGGGAAACCTCAAGAGGCCTATTTAAAATGCCACAACTGGGGCGC